ATTTTTCTAAATGAAATAAATTGCCAATGCGAAGTGATGCGCATCTCACGTCTGGAATAGTTATTCTCAAAGAGTGATCATTTGAAACGGGGCTCAATTTAGCGAATTGAAAGACAATTTTCTGAGGGTTACAAACCAAAATCTTTCTTCGATATACAGATGTTCGATTTAGTTTATTTTTCCTTTTCTTTCAAATTTTTCTAAACGGATTAAGAATTCTACATTAAACACTGCATGGAGATTAATTAAGACCACAACATCTATTTGGTGAGTAGGCCTGGTGTTAATGATTCTGATGAAAATACGCTCTGTCTTTATCAAATGAATGTCTTGGCATATTTTCAGTGTAGAACCTATCTATGTTTAGGGGGGTTATAGCCTAGGCTAACCAATTCTAAATGGCGTTAGCAGTTTGCAAAGTAGCCTAGGTGGAAAATAGACAGGATGCAATTATTTCAAATCTGCAGCTCGTTGTTGGAACACATATTTCCCTACATCAGTCAACCAGTTCATTTTGAATTTCTGATTAAACTGTTGTCATTTGGCAAGGAATGTAGCTTGTGTATCCCATCAGTTAGATCCGTTTTTATAGGCATTTCTTTCTGTAGGGCTAACAGAAGCTTGTGTGCGCACTCGGCACACGTGTAGCAGGAGCGGACGGAACACAATTTAGTGAGTGAGACACGGAGGGGAAAATGAATTTAGGGAGAAGAACTGATGCTTGGCTTGATTTCTTTTTTTTGTTGTGTCCTGCAAATGCGCATGTACAAATGGAACACTAGAGTCAAAGCAAATGAACGTTGTCTTCAAGACCATTTTTTAAATAAAATCGGGACAAAATGTTACATGCCCGTTCGGGCAGCCACAAAGCACATTCCACAAAATATTTCACAGTATAAAAAAAGGTGATTTTTAGTCGGGTTAAAGATTGAGTTTTGACATCCGTTGGAGGACTCATTTACCCATCTCTAGCCTATTCCAATCTACTGTACCAGTCAAAAGTTTGGACACCTACTCATTCAAGGGTTTTTCTTTATTTGTACTATTTTCTACATTGTAGAATAATAGTGAAGACATCAAAACTATGAAATAACACATGGAGTCATGTAGTAACCAAAAAAGTGTTAAACAAATCAAAATATATTTTATATTTGAGATTCTTCAAATAGCCTTTTTTAAATTGTATTTTAGTACTCGTTTAGCAGACGCTCTTATCCAGAGCGACTTACAGGAGCAATTAGGGTTAAGTGCCTTGCTCAAGGGCACATCGACAGATTTTTCACCTAGTCGGCTCGGGGATTAGAACCAGCGACCTTTCGGTTACTGGCACAACGCTCTTAACCACTAAGCTACCTGCCACACTCTACTCTCTACATCCCTACAATCAACCATTGGAAATATCTTGTTTGTTAGTAGTATACAGTGGGGGAAAAAAGTATTTAGTCAGCCACCAATTGTGCAAGTTCTCCCACTTAAAAAGATGAGAGAGGCCTGTAATTTTCATCATAGGTACACGTCAACTATGACAGACAAAATGAGGGGAAAAAATCCAGAAAATCACATTGTAGGATTTTTAATAAATTTATTAGCAAATTATGGTGGAAAATAAGTATTTGGTCAATAACAAAGGTTTCTCAATACTTTGTTATATACCCTTTGTTGGCAATGACACAGGTCAAACATTTTCTGTAAGTCTTCACAAGGTTTTCATACACTGTTGCTGGTATTTTGGCCCATTCCTCCATGCAGATCTCCTCTAGAGCAGTGATGTTTTGGGGCTGTCGCTGGGCAACACAGACTTTCAACTCCCTCCAAAGATTTTCTATGGGGTTGAGATCTGGAGACTGGCTAGGCCACTCCAGGACCTTGAAATGCTTCTTACGAAGCCACTCCTTCGTTGCCCGGGCGGTGTGTTTGGGATCATTGTCATGCTGAAAGACCCAGCCACGTTTCATCTTCAATGCCCTTGCTGATGGAAGGAGGTTTTCACTCAAAATCTCACGATACATGGCCCCATTCATTCTTTCCTTTACACAGATCAGTCGTCCTGGTCCCTTTGCAGAAAAACAGCCCCAAAGCATGATGTTTCCACCCCCATGCTTCACAGTAGGTATGGTGTTCTTTGGATGCAACTCAGCATTCTTTGTCCTCCAAACACGACGAGTTGAGTTTTTACCAAAAAGTTATATTTTGGTTTCATCTGACCATATGACATTCTCCCAATCCTCTTCTGGATCATCCAAATGCACTCTAGCAAACTTCAGACGGGCCTGGACATGTACTGGCTTAAGCAGGGGGACACGTCTTTCACTGCAGGATTTGAGTCCCTGGCGGCGTAGTGTGTTACTGATGGTAAGCTTTGTTACTTTGGTCCCAGCTCTCTGCAGGTCATTCACTAGGTCCCCCCGTGTGGTTCTGGGATTTTTGCTCACCGTTCTTGTGATCATTTTGACCCCACGGGGTGAGATCTTGCGTGGAGCCCCAGATCGAGGGAGATTATCAGTGGTCTTGTATGTCTTCCATTTCCTAATAATTGCTCCCACAGTTGATTTCTTCAAACCAAGCTGCTTACCTATTGCAGATTCAGTCTTCCCATTCTGGTGCAGGTCTACAATTTTGTTTCTGGTGTCCTTTGACAGCTCTTTGGTCTTGGCCATAGTGGAGTTTGGAGTGTGACTGTTTGAGGTTGTGGACAGGTGTCTTTTATACTGAAAACAAGTTCAAACAGGTGCCATTGATACAGGTAACGAGTGGAGGACAGAGGAGCCTCTTAAAGAAGAAGTTACAGGTCTGTGAGAGCCAGAAATCTTGCTTGTTTGTAGGTGACCAAATACTTATTTTCCACCATAATTTGCAAATAAATTCATAAAAAATCCTACAATGGGATTTTCTGGATTTTTTTCCCTCAATTTGTCTGTCATAGTTGACGTGTACCTATGATGAAAATTACAGGCCTCTCTCATCTTTTTAAGTGGGAGAACTTGCACAATTGGTGGCTGACTAAATACTTTTTTTCCCCACTGTATGTGGTAACCCCCACTGTTACCTCAATATCTGCTTGCACAATATGGTCAAAATTTGAGATCCAACAACGTGTAATTCTCAAATGTTCAATTCTCCCATTGATTTGTGCAGAAGTCTCAGTTACACGAGTGTATTTCAAATTAAGATTAGGCCCATAAAGACTAGGCCTATCTGATGCAAGCATCTCAGTCCATTCAGGATTACCAGGCCATCACTGTAAATAAGAATTTGTTCTTAATTGACCTGCCTAGTAAAATAAAGTTTAAATAAAATACAGTGTGCAATAGTGCGGCAATCTGCTCATTCTTATTTTATCAAATCAAATTTTATTGGTCACATACACATATTTAGCAGATGTGTAGCTAAATGCTTGTGTTCCTAGCTCCAACAATGCAGTAGTATCTAACAATTCACAACAATACACACAAATCTAAAAGTAAAGAATGGAATTAAGAATATATAAATATTAGGACAAGCAATGTCGGAGTGGCATTGACTAAAATGCAGTATATACAGTGAGGGGGAAAAAAGTATTTGATCCCCTGCTGATTTTGTACGTTTGCCCACTGACAAAGAAATTATATGTCTATAATTTTAATGGTAGGTTTATTTGAACAGTGAGAGACAGAATAACAACAAAATAATCCAGAAAAATGCATGTCAAAAATGTTATAAATTGATTTGCATTTTAATGAGGGAAATAATTATTTGACCCCCTCTCAATCAGAAAGATTTCTGGCTCCCAGGTGTCTTTTATACAGGTAATGAGCTGAGATTAGGACCACACTCTTAAAGGGAGTGCTCCTAATCTCCGTTTTTTATCTGTATAAAAGACACCTGTCCACATAAGCAATCAATCAATCAGATTCCAAACTCTCCACCATGGCCAAGACCAAAGAGCTCTCCAAGGATGTCAGGGACAATATTGTAGACCTACACAAGGCTGGAATGGGCTACAAGACCATCGCCAAGCAGCTTGGTGAAAAGGTGACAACAGTTGGTGCGATTATTCGCAAATGGAAGAAACACAAAAGAACGGTCATTCTCCCTCAGCCTGAGCTCTTTGGCATCAACTCAACTCGTCGTGTTTGGAGGAGGAGGAATGCTGCCTATGACCCCAAGAACACCATCCCCACCGTCAAACATGGAGGTGGAAACATTAACACCTTTTGGGGTGTTTTTATGCTAAGGACAAGGACAACTTCACCGCATCAAAGGGACGATGGACGGGGCCATGTACCGTCAAATCTTGGGTGAGAACCTCCTTCCCTCAGCCAGGGCATTGAAAATGGGTCGTGGATGGGTATTCCAGCATGACAATGACCCAAAACACACGGCCAAGGCAACAAAGGAGTGGCTCAAGAAGAGGCACATTAAGGTCCTGGAGTGGCCTAGCCAGTCTCCAGACCTTAATCCCATAGAAAATCTGTGGAGGGAGCTGAAGGTTCGAGTTGCCAAACGTCAGCCTCGAAACCTTAATGACTTGGAGAAGATCTGCAAAGAGCAGTGGGACAAAATCCCTCCTGAGATGTGTGCAAACCTGGTGGCCAACTACAAGAAACGTCTGACCTCTGTGATTGCCAACAAGGGTTTTGCCACCAAGTACTAAGTCATGTTTTGCAGAGGGGTCAAATACTTATTTCCCTCATTAAAATGCAAATACATTTATAAAAAATTTTACATGCGTTTTTCTGGATTTTTTTGTTGCTATTCTGTCTCTCACTGTTCAAATAAACCTACCATTAAAATTATAGACTGATCATGTCTTTGTCAGTGGGCAAACGTACAAAATCAGCAGGGGATCAAATACTTCTTTCCCTCACATATGAAATGAGTAAAGCAGTATGTAAACATTAGTGACTAGTGTTCCATTTATTAAAGTGACCAGTGATTCCATGTCTATGTATATCAGTATAAACCAGGCAGCGTTACACACTACCTAGCAGTGGTGAGAGTTCAGTGTGTGATGCCAAGGTTATGGGGCTGATTTGCCTGTTGGGGCAACCGATGGTGCTCCCCCTGCCAACCTACTGACTAATCCACACGATGGCCTAATTCTGTGCTCCGCTTCTTCTCTCTCCTCGCAGTTTGACAACGATCTCGTGCTGACCCTTGATCCCGACAATCCCACATCGCCATGGAGACACCTGGACGACAACCTTCTCACAGGTGCAGAGATTAATAAAGCATGGCAGGAAGCATAAGAAGAGGTTTTCCTTTTTAAAGTATTAGTTGTGGTAGTAGACATGTTATTACTACTATAGAAGGCCCATAAAGTAAAATAGGAACATCACTTCAGTTTAGTAGTAAGGTGTCATTGTAGCTCAGCGTCGGTTTTGGTGTACTTGTAAAACCTTGCTCCCTCTCTCTCTCTCTCTCTGCTCTGCCTTCCTCTCACTCTTAAGGGGACAGTCCCGTATTGAAAGATGAAATGACAATAACACAGCCTTTGCCAGTGGACATGTGTAAGTTCCTCTTTGGCTATTGCTTACGTGTATGTGTGCGTCTTATGCTTGAATGTGAAATATTCACAATGTATAATTTGTGTCTGCTGTTCCAGTGTTCCGGGTAAAGGCTGAGCCTCCCTCCCCTGCCTCCTCGCTAGCCTCAGACTGCTCCCTGACGTCACTTCCAGACTCACAGGTCAGTCCAGACAGAGATCAGCTCCCAGACTCACAGGTCAGTCCAGACAGAGATCAGCTCCCAGACTCACAGGTCAGTCCAGACAGAGATCAGCTCCCAGACTCACAGGTCAGTCCAGACAGAGATCAGCTCCCAGACTCACAGGTCAGTCCAGACAGAGATCAGCTCCCAGACTCACAGGTCAGTCCAGACAGAGATCAGCTCCCAGACTCACAGGTCAGTCCAGACAGAGATCAGCTTCCACATCACACTGCTAAAGGCACCCTATGCTATATTGATGCATCACAGTTTAGAGACACTGAGATGCAATGTACACAAAGTGCTAATTTTCAGTGACATAATGATGGACTTTAGAACATAGTCAGAGTATTTCAAAACTAACCAATGTGCAACAAAGGTGTGACGCCTTTTTTAACATTTCTTGCACATCTCTCTTTCTACCATTCAGATCACAGTGAAAGGGGAGAACCCGCCCACACCTCCTTACATGTTTGGAGATGTGCTGGCACCACCACTTGGCACATGTGAAGTCACGGTGGCCTCCGCACAACTGGCCCAACCACAGTCCAAACTGCCCCCACAGCCACAGCAACACCAAACAGCAGCCAATGGCATCGACACACAGCCACAGGCCACAGGTACGCGTTTCTACAGTGACGTCAGCTATCAATGTGCTGCACAGGAAAGACTTCAGCCACGAGAGCACACTTCATATCATGTACTTTTGGTGCAAATGTTGTTGACATTGTTCTTGGCAGACATTTATAGTGCATGGGAGTGGTTTTAACTCCCACACTATCATGTTCTCTGTCCCTCCAGTCCACCCCACTGCGGCCACGATTAAAGCCAGTACCATCCTGAGCAGTAAGCCTCTCATCCAGCCCAGGCCTGTGTGTGTAGCAGCTCTCCCCGTCCCCCAGGCTCCCAGTCCAGCCAAGGCCCTCATACTGCACAGCCTGCCTAGCATGGACCAGAGCAGGCCTGGTGAGTCTTGGGACCAGACTGACCATTTTTCACACATTACCTTATTCCAGGCTTACCATTTGGTGAATGCATGAGGTTAATTAAAGGGGAGCGTTGAACTCAGAAGTTTTGAATTCAGAGTTACTGTATGTATCTGTGTGTGTATGCTCAAATCGCCACAATACCTATTAATGTCTATTCCTGTGATTGATTAGAATGTGTTTGTATTTCATTCTCTTTTTTGTGTGGTAAATGGCCATGCCATTACATAATACATGATGTAATAGCTAAGTGATGTCACATTCCTTTCCTCCCTTAGTGGTGCTTTCCCAGTCCGTCTGTCTGGGGTCCGCTCCAGCCATCGTCAAAATGGAGCCCGTCTCCCCCACAATGCCTCACTGCCATAGCCCCACGGCCCCCTTCCCCAGCAAACCCATAGTCCCAGCGTCCTCTCTGCCAGGGAGCAACTGCAACGGCATCGATGTGAGTGTCTGTCAGTCACATGTCAGTCAGTCAGTGAGTAGGTCTCTCTCAATTTCTTCTTCAACCGTTGCGTTACCTCAGGCTTCACTGTTAGATCATACACCCATTAACTTTCATGCATTCTCTCCTCCGGCCGCGTCTCAGATGAAGGTGATGAAGAGGCAGCAGCGGATGATCAAGAACCGGGAGTCGGCGTGCCAGTCACGCAAGAAGAAGAAGGAGTACCTGCAGAACCTGGAGGGCCAGCTGAGGGAGGTGCAGCAGGAGAACGAGCGCCTCCGCAGGGAGAACCAGGCCCTGAGGGAGAGGCTTGCCGGGAAAGAGGTACAGGAGGGGTGGGGAGGGAGGGTGGGTGGAGTGGAGTGGAGTGGGAGGGAAGAAGGTACAGGGGAAGGGAGAACGGAGGGGTATGGGAGGAGAGTAGTGGCGGAGGTACAGGAGTAGAATCAAGGGGAGGGGTAGGAGACAGAGGAGGGAGGGTGGCAGGGGAGCTGGAAAGCCAGGAAACCTCCCTTAAGCAAATGTGTTCGTGATTACATTACTGAGGCAGAGATGGATTTCCCTAATGAACCGGATGGACTGTATTGCTTTCAATGAATCTTTCTAAATGAAAGTCTTAAGAATGTGGTTAAGATTTGACTGTTAAAGCAACAACTAGGAATACATTCAAAGAGGTCATTGAGGACATGTTGGTACTTGCGTGTTTACTAGGGCCAGGACGATACCAGTATCGCAATATTTTTTCCAGGGTAAAAATGAAAACCCGAAGTAGAACACTTTGGTCCTTTAAAAACCTGCTGTATGTAAAATATTGTGTTGTATAGCTTGGAAAATAAATAAATGTCCCTCTGGATGACAACATAATGACGTTTGTTTCCAAAAGACGGCTGTTTTCCTAAAGAAGTCAACCCTCTTCGTGTTTTGTTTCCTTGCCACGATACTAACGAGCATCGCGATACTGGTATCGTCCTGGCCATAGTGTTTACATTGTGCTCTAACTCTCCTCTCTCTGTTCCAGGGCAGTGAATCTGGTAACAACAAGAGGGCCGTCTGCGTCATGGCAGTGCTACTATTCATGACTTTCAGTTTCGGCCCTGTCAGGTAAAAGTCACTGTTCGTAGTCACTGCCATTCAATGAAGTGTTATCAATTGGCAAATTGGCCCCCAAAAAATCCTGTTTTAAAGAGTCATGTACAGAACTGCATGGTTGGTTGATTTTGACAAAATGTTTTCCTCCAGTATCACAGACAGGAAGCTGGAGACGGGGTTACAGGAAGAGGTGGTCCCTCACACAGGAAGACATCTCCTGGAGTTTGAGACGGCTCAGGAACACAGCAGAGTGGAGGAAAGGATAGAGCCCGAGGAGGAGGGAGGAGAGGATAGGTGGAAGGGAGGAGAGGTGGAGAGGGAATCCACTGATTCATACCAGTTTAGGTGGGTAATAAAGTCCAATTCATAGTTAACTCTGCATATCCACGATGGTGAGCCTGTTCATTATGACCTTATCACAGCCATCTGCGGCTGCTGCTCATGTGGTTCTAATTGATGAGGCTTTGCAAACATGCTTCAGTCAAGTAGAATGCCATTAGAGAACAAGACCGTGTTTGAGCTGTGCAGAAGATTTGCATGCAGTCTAATCATTTAGAATGCAGTCATACTGGTCTGAACTTGGAAGTACAGTGGCTTGCGAAAGTATTCACCCCCCTTAGCATTTTTCCTATTTTGTTGCCTTTGTATCATTTGATTTACACAACATGCATACCACTTTGAAGATGCAAAATATTTTTTATTGTGAAAGAAATAAGACAAAAAAACAGAACTTGAGCGTGCATAACTATTCACCCCCCCCAAAGTCAAAACTTTGTAGAGCCACTTTTTGCAGCAATTACAGCTGCAAGTCTCTTGGGGTATGTCTCTATAAGCTTGGCACATCTAGCCACTGGGATTTTTGCCCATTCTTCAAGGCAAAACTGCTCTAGCTCCTTCAAGTTCGGTGGGTTCCGCTGGTGTACAGCAATCTTTAAGTCATACCACAGATTCTCAATTGGATTGAGGTCTGGGCTTTGACTAGGTCATTCCAAGACATTTAAATGTTTCCCCTTAAACCACTTGAGTGTTGCTTTAGCAGTATGCTTAGGGTCATTGTCCTGCTGGAAGGTGAACCTCCGTCCCAGTCTCAAATCTCTGGAAGACTGAAAAAGGTTTCCCTCAAGAATTTCCCTGTATTTAGCACCATCCATCATTCCTTCAATTCGGACCAGTTTCCCAGTCCCTGCCGATGAAAAACATCCCCACAGCATGATGCTGCCACCACGCTTCACTGTGGGGATGGTGTTCTCGGGGTGATGAGAAGTGTTGGGTTTGCACCAGACATTGCGTTTTCCTTGAAGACCAAAAAGCTCAATTTTAGTCTCATCTGACCAGAGTACCTTCTTCCATATGTTTGGGGAGTCTCTCACATGCGTTTTGGCGAACACCAAACGTGTTTGCTTATTTTTTTCTTTAAGCAATGACTTTTTTCTGCCCACTCTTCTGTAAAGCCCAGCTCTGTGGAGTGTACGGCTTAAAGTGGTCCTATGGACAGATACTCCAATCTCCGCTGTGCAGCTCCTTCAGGGTTATCTTTGGTCTCTTTGTGGCCTCTCTGATTAATGCCCTCCTTGCCTGGTCCGTGAGTTTTGGTGGGCGGCCCTCTCTTGGCAGGTTTGTTGTGGTGCCATATTCTTTCAATTTTTTAATAATGGATTTAATGGTGCTCCGTGGGATGTTCAAAGTTTCAGATATTTTTTTATAACCCAACCCTGATCTGTACTTCTCCACAACTTTGTCCCTGACCTGTTTGGAGAGCTCCTTGGTCTTCATGGTGCCGCTTGCTTGGTGGTGCCCCTTGCTTAGTGGTGTTGCAGACTCTGGGGCCTTTCAGAACAGGTGTATATATACTGAGATCATGTGACACTTAGATTGCACACAGGTGGACTTTATTTCAATAATTATGTAACTTCTGAAGGTAATTGGTTGCACCAGATCTTATTTAGGGGCTTCATAGCAAAGGGGGTGAATACATACAGTGGGGAAAAAAAGTATTTAGTCAGCCACCAATTGTGCAAGTTCTCCCACTTAAAAAGATGAGAGAGGCCTGTAATTTTCATCATAGGTACACGTCAACTATGACAGACAAAATGAGAAAAAAAAATCCAGAAAATCACATTGTAGGATTTTTTATGAATTTATTTGCAAATTATGGTGGAAAATAAGTATTTGGTCAATAACAAAAGTTTCTCAATACTTTGTTATATACCCTTTGTTGGCAATGACACAGGTCAAACGTTTTCTGTAAGTCTTCACAAGGTTTTCACACACTGTTTCTGGTATTTTGGCCCATTCCTCCATGCAGATCTCCTCTAGAGCAGTGATGTTTTGGGGCTGTCGCTGGGCAACACGGACTTTCAACTCCCTCCAAAGATTTTCTATGGGGTTGAGATCTGGAGATTGGCTAGGCCACTCCAGGACCTTGAAATGCTTCTTACGAAGCCACTCCTTCGTTGCCCGGGCGGTGTGTTTGGGGTCATTGTCATGCTGAAAGACCCAGCCACGTTTCATCTTCAATGCCCTTGCTGATGGAAGGAGGTTTTCACTCAAAATCTCACGATACATGGCCCCATTCATTCTTTCCTTTACACGGATCAGTCGTCCTGGTCCCTTTGCAGAAAAACAGCCCCAAAGCATGATGTTTCCACCCCCATGCTTCACAGTAGGTATGGTGTTCTTTGGATGCAACTCAGCATTCTTTGTCCTCCAAACACGATGAGTTGAGTTTTTACCAAAAAAATATATTTTGGTTTCATCTGACCATATGACATTCTCCCAATCCTCTTCTGGATCATCCAAATGCACTCTAGCAAACTTCAGACGGGCCTGGACATGTACTGGCTTAAGCAGGGGGACACGTCTGGCACTGCAGGATTTGAGTCCCTGGTGGCGTAGTGTGTTACTGATGGTAGGCTTTGTTACTTTGGTCCCAACTCTCTGCAGGTCATTCACTAGGTCCCCCCGTGTGGTTCTGGGATTTTTGCTCACCGTTCTTGTGATCATTTTGACCCCACGGGGTGAGATCTTGCGTGGAGACCCAGATCGAGGGAGATTATCAGTGGTCTTGTATGTCTTCCATTTCCTAATAATTGCTCCCACAGTTGATTTCTTCAAACCAAGCTGCTTACCTATTGCAGATTCAGTCTTCCCAGCCTGGTGCAGGTCTACAATTTTGTTTCTGGTGTCCTTTGACAGCTCTTTGGTCTTGGCTAAAGTGAAGTTTGGAGTGTGACTGTTTGAGGTTGTGGACAGGTGTCTTTTATACTGATAACAAGTTCAAACAGGTGCCATTAATACAGGTAACGAGTGGAGGACAGAGGAGCCTCTTAAAGAAGATGTTACAGGTCTGTGAGAGCCAGAAATCTTGCTTGTTTGTAGGTGACCAAATACTTATTTTCCACAATAATTTGCAAATAAATTCATAAAAAATCCTACAATGTGATTTTCTGGATTTTTTTTCCTCATTTTGTCTGTCATAGTTGACGTGTACCTATGATGAAAATTACAGGCCTCTCTCATCTTTTTAAGTGGGAGAACTTGCACAATTGGTGGCTGACTAAATACTTTTTTTCCCCACTGTATACACGCACCACTTTTCCGTTATTAATTTTTTAGAATTGTTTGAAACAAGTAATTTTTTTCATTTCACTTCACCAATTTGAACTATTTTGTGAATGTCCATTACATGAAATCCAAATAAAAATCCATTTAAATTACAGGTTGTAATGTAGGAAAAACGCCAAGGGGGATGAATACTTTTGCAAGGCACTGTATGTAACAGGCAGTGGTGGAAAATGTATTAAATTGTCATACTTGAGTAAAAGTAAAGATACCTTAATAGAAAATGACTCAAGTAAAAGTGAAAGTCACACAGTAAAATACTACTTGAGTAAAAGTCTAAATGTATTTGGTTTAAATATACTTATGTATCAAAAGTGAATGTAATTGCTAAAATATACTTAAGTATCAAAAGTAAAAGTATAAATCAATTCCATTTCCTTATGTTAAGCAAACCAGACGGCACAATTTAATTAATTTTTTTACGGATAGCCAGAGGTACACTCCACCACTCAGAAGTAATTTACAAACAAAGCATTTGTGTTTAGTGAGTCCACCAGATCAGAGGCAGTAGGGATGACCAGGGTTGTTCTCTTGATAAGTGCGTGTATTGGACCATGTTCCTGTCAAAATGTAATGAGTACTTTTGGGTGTGAGGGAAAATGTATTTAGTAAAAAGTACATTATTTTCTTTAGGAATGTAGTGAAGTAACTGCTAACAGGCTGTCATAAAATGAATGATGTCCACATATTACTTGCCTGTAAGATGTTTACTTCATGTTTACAGCTCTTTAAGGACTTGTGCCCTTTGAAATCACTATGGTTTTGTATAGAATAGTATTGATATACTTGTTAGGCTTTCAGAAGGATGTTGAATCTGTTAAAGGTTGTTGTTTCAATCTGTATTACATGTTTGGCTGTTTTTAGAAACCTGAGTGATGTGTTCAGCGACGTGAAGGACCTGGTCCTGCAGGACCTTGACCGCTATTTCACCTCTAATGACTGCAGGCAGTTCAACCGCTCCGAGTCCCTCAGGTCAGCAGCGCTGCTATAGTCCTAACTCAGGCGTCCACGAGTCTCTCTGTCATCCCATCTCTCACCACATTATGCAAATATGATATTGAGTTACACCATCTACAGTGCACCTGTGCTCTCAAACAGGCCTGTCACTGTATCCATGTTCAAAGGAGGCAGTGTATATTATATCCCCATAGATCCCACTGTATTTGTATTATACTGAATTAGTCAAGTTTCTGTGTACTCATCTTGACTTCTACAGCTGACTGTTTCTCTTTCTCGCTCAGGCTGGCGGATGAGCTGAGAGGATGGGTTCACAGGCATCAGATCGACAGGAAGAAGTCTGGAGGGAAGCCAAAGATAGTGAAAAAAGCTAAAATAGCACAGGTGTGGTTTCATCTACTTTCTTAGTATTTCTGTATCAGATCATATTTTCGTAGTATTTCACGTTCAGATGCACACGTGAGTACACATGATGCCTCTGGTGTGTTGAACAACCTAGTTTCTGTTCATGTGTATTGTTTTGCATCATAGTTGTTTCCCTTCCCTTTTCTACAGAAAGCACAGCTAAGGAAGACAAACTTCTCAAGATATCTTCCCATTCAGACCCATCGTTCCATTGAAAGGTAACCGTTGTAGACTACATATACAGTGGGGGTATTTAGTCAGCCACCAATTGTGCAAGTTCTCCCACTTAAAAAGATGAGAGAAGCCTGTAATTTTCATCATAGGTACATGTCAACAATGACAGACAAATTGAGATTTTTTTTCTCCAGAAAATCACATTGTAGGATTTTTAATTAATTTATTTGCAAATTATGGTGGAAAATAAGTATTTGGTCACCTACAAACAAGCAAGATTTCTGGCTCTCACAGACCTGTAACTTCTTCTTTAAGAGGCTCCTCTGTCCTCCACTCGTTACCTGTATTAATGGCACCTGTCCACAACCTCAAACAGTCACACTCCAAACTCCACTATGGCCAAGACCAAAGAGCTGTCAAAGGACACCAGAAACAAAATTGTAGACCTGCACCAGGCTGGGAAGACTGAATCTGCAATAGGTAAGCAGCTTGGTTTGAAGAAATCAACTGTGGGAGCAATTATTAGGAAATGGAAGACATACAAGACCACTGATAATCTCCCTCGATCTGGGGCTCCACGCAAGATCTCACCCCGTGGGGTCAAAATGATCACAAGAACGGTGAGCAAAAATCCCAGAACCACACGGGGGGACCTAGTGAATGACCTGCAGAGAGCTGGGACCAAAGTAACAAAGCCTACCATCAGTAACACACTACGCCGCCAGGGACTCAAATCCTGCAGTGCCAGACGTGTCCCCCTGCTTAAGCCAGTACATGTCCAGGCCCGTCTGAATTTGCTAGAGTGCATTTGGATGATCCAGAAGAGGATTGGGAGAATGTCATATGGTCAGATGAAACCAAAATATAACTTTTTGGTAAAAACTCAACTCGTTGTGTTTGGAGGACAAAGAATGCTGAGTTGCATCCAAAGAACACCATACCTACTGTGAAGCATGGGGGTGGAAACATCATGCTTTGGGGCTGTTTTTCTGCAAAGGGACCAGGACGACTGATCCGTGTAAAGGAAAGAATGAATGGGGCCATGTATCGTGAGATTTTGAGTGAAAACCTCCTTCCATCAGCAAGGGCATTGAAGATGAAACGTGGCTGGGTCTTTCAGCATGACAATGATCTCAAACACACCGCCCGGGCAATGAAGGAGTGGCTTCGTAAGAAGCATTTCAAAGTCCTGGAGTGGCCTAGCCAGTCTCCAGATCTCAACCCCATAGAAAATCTTTGGAGGGAGTTGAAAGTCCGTGTTGCCCAGCGACAGCCCCAAAACATCACTGCTCTAGAGGATATCTGCATGGAGGAATGGGCCAAAATACCAGCAACAGTGTGTGAAAACCTTGTGAAGACTTACAGAAAACGTTTGACCTGTGTCATTGCCAACAAAGGGTATATAACAAAGTATTGAGACACTTTTGTTATTGACCAAATACTTATTTTCCACTGTAATTTGCAAATAAATTCATAAAAAATCCTACAATGTGATTTTCAGGAATTTTTTTCTCATTTTGTCTGTCATAGTTGACATGTACCTATGATGAAAATTACAGGCCTCTCTCATCTTTTTAAGTGGGAGAACTTGCACAATTGGTGGCTGACTAAATACTTTTTTTCCCCACTGTACCTGTAGTCAGCAGTGGTGTTCATCCTTCAATTTCTAAGTGATTCGTTGACTTTTGCATGTTCACTTGTACCAATACTAAACCAAGTTTTGTATTTGTATCAACTGAGGGGAAAAAAACTGCTGGATTGAGTCCTACCATTTTTATTGGTATTTGTCATCTTGGCCTAACTTCCCTTCTATTTGTCTCTCACAGTCAGATACAAGTGTTCCCTGCTGGTCCAGAGATCAGCTACAGTGACTTCATGGACGCTATCGACCGGCGTGAGGACACCTTCTACGTGGTCTCCTTCAGACGGGTAAGACAGAACAGCAACGCCAAATCTCTAGGGAAGTGAAACCGAGTGTGAATAAAAACGGACAGTGGGTGTCATTCACATTTTTTATTTATTTCACTTTTATTTAACCAGGTAAGCCAGTTGAGAACAAGTTCTCATTTACAACTGCGACCTGGCCAAGATAAAGCAAAGCAGTGCAATTAAAAACAACAACACAGAGTTACATATGGGGTAAAACAATACATAAAGTCAAAAATACAACATAAAATATATATACAGTGTGTGCGAATGTAGTAAATTATGGAGGTAAGGCAATAAATAGGCCATAGTGCAAAATAGTTACAATTTCGTATTAACACTGGAATGATAGATGTGCAAATAGAGATACTGTGGTGCAAATTAGCAAATTAAATAACAATATGGGGATGAGGTAGTTGGATGGGCTAATTACAGATGGGCTGTGTACAGGTGCAGTGATCGGTAAGCTGCTCTGACAACTGATGCCTAAAGTTAGTGAGGGAGATAAGTGTCTCCGGCTTCAGAGATTTTTGCCGTTCGTTCCAGTCATTGGCAGCAGAGAACTGGAAGGAATGGCGGCCAAAGGAGGTGTTGGCTTTGGGGATGACCAGTGAGATATACCTGCTGGAGCGCAGACTACGGGTGGGTGTTGCTATGGTGACCAGTGAGCTAAGATAAGACAGGGATTTGCCTAGCAGTGATTTATAGATGACCTGGAGCCAGTGGGTTTGGCGACGAATATGTAGTGAGGGCCAGCCAACAAGAGCATACAGGTCACAATGGTGGGCAGTATATGGGGCTTTGGTGACAAAACGGATGGCACTGTGATAGACTACATCCAATTTACTGAGTAGAGTGTTGGAGGCTATTTTGTAAATGACATCGCCGAAGTCTAGGATCGGTAGGATAGTCAGTTTTACGAGGGCATGTTTTGCAGCATGAGTGAAGGAGGCTTTGTTGCGAAATAGGAAGCCGATTCTAGATTTAACTTTTGATTGGAGATGCTTAATGTGAGTCTGGAAGGAGAGTTTACAGTCTAACCAGACACCTAGGTATTTGTAGTTGTCCACATACTCTAGGTCAGACCCGCCGAGAGTAGAGATTCTAGTCGGGTGGGCGGGTGCAAGCAGCGTTCGGTTGAAGAGTATGCATTTAGTTTTACTAGTGTTTAAGAGCAGTTGGAGGCTACGGAAGGAGTGTTGTATGGCGTTGAAGCTCGTTTGGAGGTTTGTTAACACAGTGTCCAATGAAGGGCCAGATGTATACAAAATGGTGTCGTCCACATAGAGGTGGATCCGAGCGTCACCAGCAGCAAGAGCAACATCATTGAAATACACAGAGAATAGAGTCGGCCCGAGAATTGAACCCTGTGGCACCCCCATAGAGACTGCCAGAGGTCCAGACAACAGGCCCTCCGATTTGACACATTGAACTCTATCTGAGAAGTAGTTTGTGAACCAGGCGAGGCAGTCATTTGAGAAACCAAGGCTATTTAGTCTGCCAATAAGAATGTGGTGGTTGACAGAGTCGAAAGCCTTGGCCAGGTCGATGAAGACGGCTGCACAGTACTGTCTTTTATCGATCGCGATTATAATATCGTTTAGGACCTTGAGCGTGGCTGAGGTGCACCCATGACCAGCTCGGAAACCGGATTGCCGGATGCATAATACAAGACAAATATGTCCGACATTTATTAACATACTTTCTCTCTGTAGGATCACCTGCTGTTGCCAGCCATCAGCCACAATAAGACCACACGACCCAAAATGTCTCTGGTGATGCCAGCTATGTCTGTCAACGGTGAGTTTGTTTTTCTTGATATGTAGATGGAACAATTAGTGGTTTAGAATTATGCCAAATTATAGCCTCATTGCACTGCTGTACACTGTTGTACAAATATTGTCTGATTTAACTTTTTGAGATGCCCTTGTTATCTTTGAACAATGGAGATCTTTGAATGTTGAATTTCATTTTTTGGTGAACGCGGAGGCATATTACGTAAAACCTACGTGTTATGTGCCCTTGAGCAAGGCACTAAACCCTAATTAGCTCCAGGGGCGCTGTACTACTATGGCTGACCCTGTAAAACAACACATTTCACTGCACCTATCTGGTGTATGGGACAATTTTTTTTAATGTTTGTTTGTTTTTGTTAGTTGTTTAGTTAGCCTCTGTATCTGTCTATCTATTGTACATTTTCCTCTCCCTGTCAGTGTCTCTTTTTTATACATTGCACTCTCGTTCTCTCTCACTCCCACAGAGAGTTTATATAACAAATCCCAGGGGTACGAGATGATGATGCAGGTGGATTGTGAGGTCATGGACACCCGGATCATCCCCATCAAAGCTTCCGCTGTTCCCCCGTCCCTCCGCGACCCCCCTCCCGCTCCCCCCGCCCACCATCACCACAGCAACCACACCTCCCTCCGAGGCCGCCACCATCCCCACACCGGCGGAGCGGCGTCTCCACGGCAACCCTTACCTTCCAGAAGACAGGAGGCTGAGTATTACATCAGCCAGGGGGGCGGGGTTTGAGGTTAGTGAAGGTGAACAAATGAGAGTGGGATGAAAGGAGAAAGGAAAGGAAGTGGAAAACAGGAAGGAGAGGGTAATGGGAGATTGAATAGGTGAAGTGAGATGGAGAGGAGGACTTGATAAGGGAGAGTGGAAAGGTTGTTGGAGGCAAATCTGTCAGGGAATTATGGAGGCCATCTGTACTAATTGAAACAAATGGTTAACAATACGGTGCCACAATGTTGAAACGTTGTCCCAGCAACTCAAAGCAAATGTGTTTATTCTACTGAAGATTCAATATTTGAATCAATATACTAATAGACCAATGAGTAAAACCCACTCCGCAAAGCTGATCTGTTTAATATAAAAAAAAGTCAAATAACATTGAAGTTATTTATTTCTTTAGCAAACCTAAAAGACGTGACACCCTCTTTTTTAAAAAAAACATTCTATAATTAAAAGGTTTACCAATGGTTCCTAACTAAATAATTTCTTAATATATACTTTTAAAAAACCTGCCCAAACACAGACCTAGCAGTTCACTGCACTTAGACATAGCGCAGAATTAATCACCGAAATATATGCAGCTAATGGTAGTGGACTGCTCATGGTTTCATTTGAGGACAATTTTTTGTAGCGGTTCCATTTTGTATATTTGTGTTTATTGCTCTCCATTGAAATTCCATTCAGAGGGCTCCTGCAGAAAATGCAGGTCAGATGCTAGTCGTCAGCTTAGATTTGTTTTTTGTTTGTTTCTTTTTTATGTAAAATGTGTTTGGATTTGTATGAGGATTTATTTAACTTGTGATTATTGGTTGTAAATATCAATGGTAGCTGTTGTGATATTGTTATTTTCAAACCTATATTTTGCTCTGTCCTCTAAACTACTTCTTCTTATGGGCACAAACCTGCTGTTCCTATACTCCAGAAGTGAGCACGTTAATAAGTACATGGACAGGCCTAAATATATTTGCATTGAACGCAGAAGACCACCTTGATCATACAGTGTGTTGTGTATTTGTATATACTTGTAATTTTCTAGCACTTGCACAAATCTTGCAGCATCGAGCTTGATCCACTGTATCTCCATGTAATTATGGAGAATAGCAACAGATTTGGTAGTACAGAAAAAAATCTAGGATGTATTAACATCTGAATACATTCTCAATGTCATCAGCAATATGGTGATGTTAAATTACTGACACCTTATCCAGAATCATCCAGGTACTCTGAAATTATAGAATTGATTGTGTTTCTTATACACATATGTGAAGTAAATCCAGTAAGCATTGTTTTCTGTTTGTTTTTGTTTTTTACCCCCCAAATGCAGTCAGTCTTCTGACCAAAAGTGGTTTCTGAGTCTACAATGAGATGTGAAGTCATTTTCATTAGTTGCAAACTCTCTGTGAACTCGTCTTGCTCTGACTGAAGCACTGCACACACTTCTTCAGCAAGTGTATATGTTTGAGATAATAATGCCATTCTCACGGGAATACCACCCATTGTTTTTCATTTTTATATAAAAATTATAATAATTCTTATCAAAAGAAATGAAATATTTAAAAAGTTTGATATGAAGCTGTATAAGTTTTGTTAGGGGTGTTGAGAGGTCTCTTTTTAGTTTGATTTCAGAACCCACTTTGGCCAATGGGAATACAGGAACACAATGCTACTAGTGATATATAGTGAGGTGTCGGATCCAATACATTTACATGTCAATTCACTCTCACACAAACACACTCACCACACACATGCACATTATATGTACACACACACACACGGCAAAACTTTAAGCATGAAAATCTGTGGTTATAATGGTAGCAATGTACATTATATGGTCAATGCCTCCTGTCTTTTTTCTTATTTAAATGAATTTTCATAACTTTTTTTTTTAATTCTCTTTCCCTGATTATACGAGAAGTTTGAACGGCTGCCTTTTTGTTTGTAGAAAACGAACATTGAATTTGATAAATAAAGCGATTTTTAAAGTACACTGTTGCATTTCTCTTGAACATAACAAAAAAGCAGGAGTAACATGAACATAGCCACGTTCAGAGACCTAGTTATCATCCAACTTTTTTGTTTGTCAGTTTTCCTTAGGATTCTTCTTACTGATCCAGTGTGTATCACAATTGTTCTGTAACCTTGATTGGATTTATCTCTTAAACCGAAGGCCAGAGTAGTTGGTCTCGTTCCAGCAGCTTTTATTGTCAGTTGATACAAAGAACATCCTTGGTTTAGTCTGGTACAAATAATCTGAAAATAAACAGATAATGCCCTCTACTGAATGCTTTCACTTAATCTCGCTACTGCATTTTCATCTCACTACTCATGTAGCCTGACAAATGCAAATTATTAACAAGTCAAATGTCTTTGCAGCAGCAGGAGAAATTTGCATCAGGGAAATAGATGCGAAAGGACAACCTAAAAGTAAAGGAAAACTGGTCTGGTGACCAAGCAAACAGCTTCATATAGACTGGCAGCAATGTTTTTCAGTACAAGAACCCATCATTATTCAGGGCCAAGCTGAGGTAGTTGAATGTTCAGCACAGACTGATGACAAGAGCTAGTAAAGCATGTTTGAATTCCCAGAGGACAGGGCACTACTTTGACAGAGAACCAGGGGCCTAGTTGCTGAAGTAAATACCCAGCCATAAAGCAGAAAGCAGATGATGGGGGCAAATAAAAGGGAGCGGTTGCCATCGTAAATGCAGGATGGGGCCTCCTACAAATTGACAAAGTTTGAAGCTCAGCTCACACACACTCACAGATCCTGTTCCTGAGGTATTCAGAAAAACGAGTCAAGAACAGTCACAAAATAAGAATCTGCCTGACTGATGACTTCGACATTAACTTTAGGGAATGTCAATGTAATCAATCAGATGGGATTCTTTTTCAGTGTCTTTTCTTGTTCATCGGGCTGTATGAATATCAAAGAACGCAATGGTAAAGGTTAATACAACTGAGAGACTCAAAACATGTTTGTCTTCATCAGGCATCTTTCACAGCTAGGGGGCACTTGAGTTCTGTGCATTGTGGCTTCTGGGTGAATCAGACCCCAGTCTGATGGTGGTGTTGTATGACCAAAGAAAGACATCTCCATGTTAGACCCCTACAGGATCTCAGAATGGTCCATAACATTTGGAGACATTTCGGTCTGGTCACTTGAACAGTCTGCAGGGAATACTACTTTCGTTTGGAAACATTTGCTCCTATTTTGGAGGTAATAAAATATACTTTTGGCTCAGAAAACATGGAAAAGAGGGACGACTACAACCAATTTTGATCAAGTAAAAGGTTCAAAGGAGAGTGTTTTGGCTTTGAGAAAGTATGGATGGGGGGTGACACTGTAAACATGACAATTCTGCCTCCTGGACATTCCAATGATTCTCTTTTGATCGCACATCAGTATAGCTGCACCGAGCGTAGTAATTTACACTGATTTACAAGGTGACTTTACCAGTCCACTGGAGTCTGTTAATTAGAAGTTAATGTTTTTTTGTACAATGTTGTTATTTCAGTAGGTAGTATGTCTTAGATTTTAAATTCAGTAGGAAATATCCTCTCGCTCGCTCTCTCTCTCTCTCACACACACACACACACACACACACACACACACACTCAGCTGATTAGGGAGTATTGGAAGGCTGTTTGGCCCTCAGGTAGGGGTTTACAGTCAGCTTCTACATTTACCCCTAGCATTACAGACATGAGAGGATGTCCCAGTAAGCAGAATTACATTTAAAAATATGTCTAAAATACGTATTTTCCAGACGTTGAAGTATCATTTTAGGTTATGGATGAAAGGTGAAAATATGTATTTTCCAGACATTTAAAATACGTATTTTCAGGATGTTGAAAATACATATTTTCTGGATGTTAGTGATGTTACGTTTGATACTGGAGCCCCGAGGCCTTCGTCGAAATCGCTAAGAAGCTAACTTCGAAGCAGTGTGCCACTGCGAGTATCACTTTATCAGAAATACGTCATCAATGACGTCCGAAGCTTCATTTGTTCACGTGCAAACCATGTGTAGCAAAATGCAAGAGCCCACTGATTTCACTGTGGTTCCGGTGCTTTCTTTGATTAAGCTGCTTTCAAACACCGACCTCTACTGGATACCATACTTATAAATATAGTTATGATTTTGTACATTTAATTTCACCTGACCGGTAGTTTAGCAGGTAGAGTATGAACTATGGAACATTCAGGGACATGTGGGTATGAGATCAAATCCTGTTGAAGACACACTATTTTGATTTAATTTTATGTGAAAGCACACTTTCTGCAATGTTGTTCAATTAATTTGTTTTATTTAGTATAGTATAAGCTTCTGTCTTAAGCATCCTAAATAATGCAAAAACCGCTGCACCACAGAGTTTTGATAAAATCAGTTGAAAAAACCCTCTATCTGATAATCACATGTTGCTATTTATTGCTGAACAGCAGATGTCACTAATCTGCATTGTGAACGGATAATAAAGCTGTTTTCGACACAATTGTCTGGAAAGCCTCAATGCTTCAGGAATCTTCGTTTACCCATCACTACTAGACTTGAAAATACGTATTTTCCAGACGTTGAAAAGACGGGTGTTGAAATCAGGTTTATTTTCGGTTATGAATGAAAATTCTCATGAATGGTTACAGAATTTTTATATTCTTGCTATGACTACTATGTTGTTGTTTATCTACCTTAGTTGAATGCACTGACTATAAGTCACTCTGGATAAGAGTGTCTGCTGAATTACCAAAATGTAAAAACAAACACTTGCAAAGCATGATGTGTATTATTCTAATGAGCTCCGCGCCCAGACCAAATCTTAACAAATAATAGACAATAATGTTTGGGCCAAATCAAGGCCAGTCCAGACCGTACCAAATCGGAACTAATTTTAGACATCTATGTTTGGGCCAAATATAGGCCGATCCGGACCAAAGATCAATGTCCGTGGACATTGAAATCAAGGCCAGTCCGGAAAACAAAACTAAAAATGAGACGAGACAAAAAAAAGATGTCCAA